CTACCTACCACGGGGGCGGTGGTGGTTTAGTGGTAGAATGCTCACCTTCCACATGGGAGAACGAACAAATCTGTCCTGGAAGAAGTGTGGCCAGAATGCTCCTTAGAAGCCAGAATGACCAGACTTCGTCTCACCTACTTTGGTCTTGGTGGCAGAAGGGACCAGTCACTGGAGAAGGATATCAAACTAAAAAAACCGAACTCACTGCCTTCAAATCAGTTCTGACTCATAGCGACCCCTCCTTGGGTTTCTGAGGAGGTATCTCTATGGAAGTAGATTGCCCAATCTTCCTTCCGAGAAGTGGCCGGTGGGTATCATGCTTGGTGAAATAGAGGGTCAGTGAAAAAGGGGAAGACCTGCAATGAGATGGATTGCCACAGTGGCTGTAATGATGGGCTCAGGTAAAGCAAGGATTGTGAAATTGGCTCAGGGCTCTGGGCAGTGTTTCATTCGGTTGGACATGGGGTTGCTATGAGTCAGAGCCAACTCGACAGCACCTAACAACAACAACAATGTGCGGGAGACCTGGGTTCAGTTCTGGCCAGTGCACTTCATGTGCAGCCCCCACCTCTCTGTCCACAGTGAAGGCTTGTTGGTGCTATGATGCTGAGCAGGTTTCAGTGGAGTTTCCAGGCTAAGACAGACTAGGAAGAAAGGCCTGGTAATCTACTTAGAAAAGCAGCCGATGGAAACCTTGGTGGATCACAGTGGCCCACTGGGCATGAGGTTGCCATGAGTCAGGGAATAACGCAACAGAGCTAACAAAAGCTACCTATCCATCTGTCTGCCTGCCTGCCTGCAATAAATATTTTCTCAGGTCTACCAAGGAGCCCTGACATCGCAGTGGTTAAGTGCTCAGCTGCTTACCAAAAGGTCAACAGTTCAAACCCACCAGGCACTCCACGGGAGAAAGATGAGTCAGTCTGCTTCTGAAAAGGTTTACAGCCTTGGACACCCTGTGGGCCAGTTCTCTTCGGTCCTATGGTTAATATGAGTTGGAATTGGCAGTGGGTTTGGTTTTGTTTCCATGTGCCAGGTTGCCTTGGTGGAGCAGTGATTAAGTGCTTGGCGCTATGAAGGGCAATGGCTTGAACTCATCAGCTGTTGCGAAGGAGAAAAGACCTGGCAATTTGCTCCCATAAATATTATAGCCTGTAAAACTCCATGGAGCAGTTCTACTCTGTCCTATAGGGTCGCTATGAGTTGTAATCGACTCGGTGGCTCACAGCACCGCCACCACCACATGCTAGGCCCTGTGCTAAGCTCTGGAGATAAGGCAGTGAATCCTTGTCTGCTCGCTCGCAGACACAAGTAATGACATAATAGTTTTTTAATTACAACTGGGAAAAGCACTGCAAAGGAGAAGTACAGGGAGCTGCCAGTTGACTTAGCCTGTTTCCTGGGGGGTCAGCAACCAGGGAAAACAGTAAGAACAGCTTCTCAGTTCTTGTTGAGTCACAGATGGACTGATTACATTGTAGAAGTGTTTCTGGTCACAGTGCGTGGTTGAGACCTGGTGCAGATCAGAAGTTGTAAGTGTTCACATGCTGCTAACACTGGCTGTGGTCAGCCCTGTAATAGACAAGGTGTGACCCTGGGCTGCTGATGACAAGGACATTTTTCTTCAGAGAATTTAATGTTAGTTGCCATCAAGCCGATTCCAACTCATGTTGACCCCTTGTGATATAGGGTTTCTTAGCTATAGTCTTAATGGAACGATCCCTGGTGGCACAGTGGTTAAGTGCTCGGCTGCTAACCAAAAGGTCAGTGGTTCCAACCCACCAGCCAACTCCTTGGGAGAAAGATGGGGCAGTGTGCTCCCCTAGAGATTACAGTTTTGAAACCCTATGGGGCAGTTCTCCTCTGTCCTGTAGCATTGCTATGAGTTGGAATTGATGACAATGAGTTTGGGGTTTGAATCTTAGCAGAAGCAGCTTGTCAGGCTTTTTCTTCATGGTACTGCTGGGTGGTTTTGAACCGCCAACTTTTAGATTATCTTTTGAGTGCAAAACGTGTGTGCCATCAAGGGGATTTAATGTACTTTTTGTAATCCATAGGGAAAGTTTAGCTACCTTTCATCGAGGAAGGGCTGGGACAAGTGAGAGCTGAGGCCATAAGGGGAGGACAGTTTGGGAAGGAACTAATCCGGCTGCCTGAGACAGGCAGCTAACTGGCTGGCGGACCGCCTTGTTACCCTGGATGCCCCACCTCTCTCCTCCAGTAGCTTTTGTCTCCCTCCCCATTAGAGCCAACGTGGATTAAATTGCCAACCAATTTGTTTATGACCAAAGATGAATGCATTGGCAAACATATTTTTCCTTATTAGATTCCCCATTGTCATTTAATACCTTTTTATTTATGTGTTTCTTTTGAGTAATTGCTCTGTGCATTGGCCCTGGCAGTTCTCTACAGTTTGGATTTGCATACAGCACTGGCACAGAGCTTTTGGCATTGACTGGGGCTGGGCTGTCCCTTCCTTACTTTCACCCCAGTTTTTCTCTTGAAGAGCCTCCTTATCACACTTTGTGCTATTGAGGGTGCCTTGGGCACGAGCAATATATAGGAAGGATTTGGCTTCTGTGTGATGGCATAAACTCCAGTGTTGGCTGGCATCTCAAAACCTGAGATTCGAGATAGAATTGGCTTTGAGCTCACCAGTGTCACAGAGTCGATTCTGACCCGTGGTGACCGGATGTTTGTCAGGGTACAGCTGTGCCCTGTAAGGTTTTCATTGGCTCACTCTCATTTTTATTTTTATTTTTTTTAAAGAAGCAGATCACTAGGTTCTTCTTCCGAGGCACCTCTGGTTGGCCTTGAACTCGAACCTTTTGGTTAGCAGCCAGGTGCATTCACCATGTGCATCACCCAGTGCCTAGAGCTCCGCCACGCCATCATGCTTCACTTCACCACAGCTGTGGCCCTTGCACATTGGAGTGGAGTGTCACTAATTTCACCAAACCATGCGTAAGCACCGATGCCCTGGAAACTGAGCTCCCCTCTTTTCTTTTTTTTCAAAGTCTTGGGATTCCTGGAGTAAATGAATCTGGCTACGTTAAGCGGCCTCCACTTCATGGAAAAAAAAAAAAAAATCCACCCCCTAAACCCCCGGCTGTTAAAACCTGATGTTTTCTGTTGCCAGGAGAAGGGTGTTTTTGCTATAAATGAAAGACATGACGGGATATTTTGAAGCTTTGTTTTGGTTATTGTCGGTTCTGCCAACAAGTAACATCTGTATTTATTTTCCAAACTCCCCCAATGGCTGATTTGCATCTGTTTGGTTCTGTGAGTAACATTTCATTTCCTGACTTTATAGGTTGCTATAAAATCCATTCGTAAGGACAAAATTAAGGATGAACAGGACATGGTTCACATCAGACGAGAGATTGAGATCATGTCATCCCTCAGCCATCCTCATATCATCAGTATTTATGAAGGTCAGTGCTTTTTTTTTTTTTTTTTGTAATTCACCCCCTGTATCAATTACCATTTCTCATACCATGGGGCTTGCCAAGACTTTTAGGTAATTGCCTTTCTGGACAGGAGCCAAGTATTTTTCCTCATGATGTAAAAATAGTCCAGTGTTATCTCTTATTTGGCTACCTTGAGTGCAACCAGACACATGTAATACAGCTCACTTTGGTTATAAAATATCTTTGATGGGTGCCTTGTTCTGTCTTACTGGGTCCTTGGTTGTTGCTAAGCAACTCACCTTGTTGAAAGCTGGCTTGTGAGACAGCCATGAGTTCTGAAAAGTGGCCACTTGCTAGATGAACAAGTCACTGGTGACATTCCCCTAAACCGAACGCTCAGGTGTGGTGTTAGGAGTTACTTCAGGTTAGGCACTTTGAGTCAGGGATTAAGTCTGACCAGGTCCTGGAAGCACCAAGAAAGAGGGGCTGCTTGGTGCCACAGCAGCATGTTGGTGTGGCGAATGGATTCCAAGTGGTAGTTGGTGTTTGTTGAAGGGTAGGGTGGGGAGGAGCTTACAAGTTACTTGTGTTTGATCCTCTACAGAAAGAGAGAGAAAAAGGGGGAGGGAAGGCAGGACATAGACCTCCCACAGCCTTTTTTTTTTTCCCTTTTAATATCCTGTAAAAGAGTTATGCGAGCTGTATGTGTTTCTTGCAGAAATGATTGAAATACAAATGTTAAAACTGAAAAATAACTTCTGATCTGACTCCCAGAGGTAACAATCTGATTGATAGCTGTGTCTACTTTTATCTATCTCTGAATCTCCCTGTGGTTTTTATCCAAAGTCAGGTCATACTGTTTATACTGTTTTTTTTTAACTTGGTTCTGCTCCCCACCCCCGCCATTCATTATATCATGCATCTTTCCTATGTTAATAAATATTCCCCCATAAAGACATTTTAAAAGGCTTTATAGTATTCTGTTAATGGACATACCATCATTTATTGTATCTAATTCTGCTTGCCAAGTGTTTAAATTGCTTCACATTCCTAGTTATTATAAACAGGGCTTTAGTGACTGTCCTTGTATATCATTTTTACATTTATTTCCAATGATTCCCTTAGCATAAATGCCGACTTTTGAATTTGCTGAGTCAAACTGTTGGCACAGAGTATTTTTTATTTCTGGTTGAGTCAGAGCATTGAACCTATGTTTCATTTCTGGTCTGATCATAAGAAGTTACCAGGTAAGGTTATGAGGCAACCAGATAGTGACCCTTACATTTTTCTCATATTTAACATTTTTCTTCATTGAGTTACCTGCTTTTTCCACCATTCTGTTTTCCTGCTGATTCTATTTTTGCTTCTTATCCAGAAGTAAATGTTGGTATTATCTTTTATCTTGAGCTTTCTAAAGCTCATTTTTGGAGCTCTTGGGGATAGGATTTTTAAGAGACAATCGTTCATTCCACAGATATCTCTTGCAGTCGTTCTCAGAGAACATAGTCCCTGGGCCAGCAGCCTCAGCATCACTTGGGGTGGTTAGAAATGCAAATTCTGAGGCCTCCCCCAGCCCTGCTGAATCTGAAATTCTGGGGATGGAATCCAGCGCCACGTTTCAGCACTGGTCTATCGAGTGCTCCTTCCTGTAAAGCACTGTGTTGAATGTGGTTGGAAATAAAAAAGGTGAATGTGATATGAATTCCATATACGAGAAGCAGTAAGTAGATACGTAAATCTGTTCTGGAGTCTCTGGGTGGTGCAAACAGTGAGCATGTTTGGCCACTGACCAAAAAGGTTGGGGGTTCAAGACCCCCAGAGGTTCCTCAGAAGAAAGGTCTGGCAATCTTCTACAATATCAGCCACTGAAAACCCTGTGGAGCACAGGTCTACTCTGACACCCGTAGGGTTGCCAACTTAGGGTTGACTCAATGGCAACTGTTATTTTTTTGTATTATCATCATAAGTAGTTCTTAACCTGGGGCCCTTCCATAAAGAGATTCATGGGTGAGCTGCAGGGCCTGTATCCCCCTGGAATGGTGGTGGTTATTGTTGTTATATGCCATCGAGTCAAACCCGATTCATAGCGTCCCCTCCTTGGGTTTCCGAGGCAGTATCACAATATAACTGTTACTTAATACAGATGCCACTAGCCGCAGGTGGCTATTTATATTGAAATTGAAATGAATAAAAAATTTAAAAGCCCAGTTTCTCAGTTGCACTGGCCACATTTCTAGTGTTCAGTAGGCACATGGGGCTAGTGGCTCCCCAACTGTAGTTATCAGCATTTCCATCATGGTGGCTTCCACTGGACAGTGCTGCTCCATGTGTTCTGTGCAGGTGTTAGTTTTTCTAGAGGAGAGGGTGCATAACTTCTATCAGATTCTCAAAGGGATACTTGACCTCTAGTAAGTTGAAAGTACCACTGCTATACCATGCTTTGTGTCTTATTGCGCAATGCAGCCATTGCCGTGGAGTTGTACCCGACTCATAGAGACCCCTTCTTGGGTTTCCAAGGCGGTATCACTACAGAAGTAGATTGCCCAACCTTCCTTCCAAGGAGTGGCTGGTGGGTTTGAACCACCAGCCTTCTGGTTAGCAGTCAAGTGCCTTA